TTGGCTGGCAGAAGGTGTATGATAACGATTTGGACAACATTGCTGGCGATTACAAGTCTCAAGTTTTGGGCGCAGAGGCAGCTATTTGGTCGGAACAAATTGACGAGCACACTTTGGATTCACGTTTCTGGCCACGAGCCAGCGCCTTGGCAGAACGTTTGTGGTCGAATCCGAAGCAGTCGTGGCGTTCGGCTGAAGCGCGTATGCTCTATCATCGACAACGTTTGTCAGAATTGGATATTGGTGCGGAATCATTGCAACCAGAGTGGTGCTTACAAAACGAAAATCAATGTCCCATAGATGCTTACGATCAAAAATTTGGAATCTGAAAGTAATACTAATCTTGCTTATGTTCGTAATAATACTGATAATAGGTCTGTTTGATGTAAAATAAGACGTAATTTATACACTAAACATTATTAGATATTATATAGCAAACATACCTATTATCTTACTTGTAACTGTAATACATATTTTTGAAATGTAAGTATATGTGAGAGTTGTTAATAAAAATTACGCTTTTGAATAGAACTTCTACCATACACTGGCATAATTTGACGAGGTGAAATCATTTCATCGAAAATATATGCTTGAGGGATTATTTCCAATTTTATTGGAAATATATGTAGTTGATATTAGTGAAAATTTAATATTTCTACAGGATAAGATATTTGGGTTTTTAGTCTCACCGCTCTTAACATTCAAAAAGTATAATTTTAGATACCAAAAATATTTTGTTTACCTTAAATGGAACTAAAGCTTTATTTCTGCATACATACATACATAGAATCACGTGGAATATATATAAACAGACGTAGCTTGTACAAATTTGTTAGTCTAGTTCAGAAATGTTTAGTAAGCAAAAATGTGTGTAAACTATGCTTTTAACTTAAATATGAATATCATGACCCACTTATATATTTAGATATGCCTGATGATGCTCCCCCTCATTTACTCATTCCAGTCTTCCTCATTTCGGCCGAATTTGTATACCAGACTGCCAATAAGGATGAATACATTCTGCATTAGAAGAGCTACGCCTGGCCAATTGTCCTTTTTTTCTATTAATTAAAGAATAAGAATAGCAATAAGTCGTAATATTGCAAAGTTTATTGACATGCTTGTCTGCCGAAAAAAACTTCCATATACTTTTTAGAACCAAGTATATTTTTAAATAACTTAAAACTTACTGTTATTGATAAAGTCATCAATCATAACCCAGATAGCTGCTATTATCGATGCAAATCCCATAACGAAGCCAATAAGCAGATAAATTTTTGCAATACGTGCTCCGGACTCGGATGTGTTTTCTTCCGAAATCTTTTAAATCGTAAACAAAACAACATATCTAAAGGTCTGTTAAGAGTGGTTAAGAATGGTATATAATTACATGCGAGTTCTTTACGGTGTTCACCATAAAGAAGCTGATTGTACCGAAAACTCCTATGAAAACATGTCCGGTGGTGATTTGTTTTTGACTGTCTACTGACATAGCATCGATCAGAACCCACCAGCCAGTGAAAAACTAAAAAAACAAAATATAAATAAATAAATTACTTATATATTTATGCATACATTAGCAAATATGTGATTGCTTTTGTAAACAAAGCAAATGTATGGAGTTAGCTGTAATCAGAGTACACATACCAGAAACCCAGAAATTAAGGCTGAATTTTTATTACGAGCTGTTTCTGAGGTGAACAATTCGCGTATATTTTCTAATATAGCCATTTTCGTTAAATTATATATTTTATTTCTTACTGAATTTGCGAAAAATATATTTTACTGTGAAAAATATGTTGACTAATTCTAAAGAAATTATCGAGACTGCTGTCAAAGCAGTCAGAGGTGCATTTTTTAAGTACTACTTCATTTGGTTCTACTTAAGTATTATTGGTTTGTTCTTTTAATAAGTTTGATACTGGAACTTTTTAGAAGTTTTAATTATTCGTTTGCATACAAGAAATAAATAAAAAGCTTTTAAGATTCAGCATAGAAAACAAGAAAATATTACTCACCAAATCCATTTAAATTGTATAACATATGCATTAAAAAGTCTTAACTTAAGCATATCGATAATAACATATCAGTCATTGCAATGTTGCGATAAATTTCCAACAATTCCTTTAAACAGCCGACGTTAAACAAAATAATAACACGTGCTGTAACATCAACTGTTTTTCTTAAATTTTTAAATCTATTAGTTTTAAATAATGTCTTCTTCTGAAAGTGATGAATCTAAGAGAGTGATGCAAACGGATGACGAGGAGCAGGAAGAACCAGATTTAGATGCCAGCGATACCGAATCTGATGAAGGTGATGAAGACGAAGAGATGGAACAAGAATCCCCCAAGAAACTATCGCTTGAGCAAAAGGTTACAGAAGATATCACAAAAAAATATGCTGAACGTCAGGGCAAACAATTGTATATAAGATTCCCACATAAACTGCCCGAAGATGATGATGAGTTCCAGAAATCCGCCATAGCATTATCTCCACTAATATTGAAAGCGCATAAACCACGACAAAAACACGCACGTTTTTGCCTGGTGGATTTTGGTTCACGTGAAGATCGCGATACCGCCTTAAAAGCTATAAAAGCAGCAGCAAAAAATGGCGGCACAAAAGTAGTTGTATCAATACCACGTACCGAGAGCGATGAATTCGTGCAAGAATTAGTGCAACGTAAAGTGAATACGTTGGAAAAGAAAAAGGCTAAAGCGCGTTTGAGACGTGCTAGCAAATTAGCATTGCGTTCGAAGAATTTCACATCCTCCATTGTTATAACGAACCTACCACAAAGCGCTTCAGTGGGAGAAGTACGTAGATTATTTCCCAATGCTGTTGATGTACATATAAAACCACGCAAAGGCAAGTTAATCGCTTCCAGTATAGCGACGATCACGTTACCCTCAACAATGGAGGCACGAGCCGCTATGAAGAAGAAACAATCATTATGTGGAACAGAGCTTATTATACGTTTCGATACACAAAAAGCGAAAAAGAGCAGTGGAAAAGCGAAGAAAAATAACATTAAAAAGTCTTCAGCAAGTTCTGAGTCTAAAACGGATGAAATTAAAGTATATGATTAAATAAAACTTTACTTGGAATTACGATATGTGATGGTTTTATTTAATTAAATTTTATTTAATATGAGGATTGTAAAGCTTCACAGTTGCTGCTGTAACATAAATTTTAAATGGAATTCTGTTATTGTTCCTCTTCGGATGGTTATATCCAGTGTGTACTAATGTATCGTGGCCAGAATTTTTAGTTTTCATTTAAAAAACAGCAGAAATGATTCAGCCTTGTCCGTTTATCCGACGAGAACTAGCACTTCAGCTTTTGAGATAACAATCATTTGTACACGTCCTTTTGACTCCAGAGAACCAATATCGGTTATATTGGGCTTATAATTGGCATACAAACCATGCAATAAAGAGCAAGTTCTTGTATAGAAAATGTTTATTTTTGACGAAATATTTTTAGCAATATCCGAATAAATTTTTCAGTTCGGCTTACTATAACAAATAGCTCTCATACAAACTGACTGATCAATTCTTGTTTAGAAACTTTTTTAGTGATAGGTTTTTTTGCTTTAGTGCAAACGAAATTAACATTTATTTTGCTTTTAACTTTCAGAAGTTAATCTACAAATATGCCTCATTCTTTGAATATAAAAGCAAATTTTATATATTATTTGAAGATTTATTGAAATCATAGCGTAAACCAAATACGAATAAAAGAAAATACTAAAATACGGTAAATAGTAGTTGAATTACATCTTTTAAGCAAGAAGTTGTAAAATAATTACATCCATTATATTACACTTTTTTTTGTATTTACATATATGTATGTATGTACTTGCAAATATTAATTTGTTTGTTTAACATTTATATGTTCCGATATTATTTAGAATAAAATGCAATTAAGAGATTACATATGTATTTCCGAAAGAACGTCTATTTTCTAAATATGTATATATTTTTCTGTTTTTAATTTTAGTTAAATAAATCTTTTCACAATTTGCGTAATTCATAATAATTATTTTTGCATTTCTTATCATTATAAACAAATCACCGCCAATACGATATTTGATGTCAATTAAAAAATCCTTCAATCGCGTTGAACATACATACATTTGTATGTATTTACCGATGTTTGCCAAAACTCTGCTGTCACGCACGGTCACAATCAAAGTGTGAGCACTCTTATCAGCAAGTGCAGTGTTTACATGGCTAATATGTGTATATGTTTATTAAATGTATGTGTATACATGCATTAAAAATTTTTACGAATATGCTGCTGGAATAATAATTTTATATACCACATTCTTAGAACCGACGAATGAACGAGTGAAATATTTGTACAAGTCTTCGCTTCCCGATAGCGCCCTATTTGTGTTCTATAGAACGCCATACTTATCAAACAGTCTCAAATACATAATGATTATTTATTTAAAAAGAAATATACCTTTATATATATATAATTATGTATATATCATTTCAAATAATGCACCGCTAATGTGTGTTGTTTAAATTAATAATTTTCAGTTAACATGAGCAAATAAGCATTAGTTTAGAGCAGCACTATTTTAATATACAAATTACAACATTTTGTTTTTAACGGTAAAAGTATGAGAATATTTCTTCATTTGTTGTATTACATTATCGCTTTACAACATATGTACAAATGTCGTTTTGTTATTCATACATATATGTAGTGCAGAAAAAGGTTTTCAATTATTGTTTGTTGTTGCATTAATAGAAATGTAATATGAAGGGATAGAAGTCGCGATTTATTGCGTATTCGTAGCTTACTTTAGTTTTATCTTTCCACTTTTGTTTACAACTTTTTTTTTTGTAATATTCAATAATTATGTTTGCAGCAGCCGTTGTCTGACGGATGGTGATGATGTTGGTGGTGCGCCAAATGTTTCCGTCGATGTCTGTTGCGTTGGTGGTGGTGAGCGCAACGGGAACGAGGGCTGTACAAATCGTACACGTTCCACATCTATGGACGAATTCGGTGGCGCTGTATTAGCTGCTGCATTAAATGCCGATGTGAAAGCGGTGGCGGCTCAAAGGGTATGATAATTGCGTTCATTACGTGCCTTGTAGAATTTGTAAGCGACCAAACTGATCGCTAAAATACCCAAAGTCAAAACAATGCCACCGATGAAGGATGGAAAGTCAAAGTGATTGCATGGTGGCCGGGGAGTTGGCGGAACAGGTGTAGTAGTTGTTGTTGTAGTAGTGGTGCTGTTGTCTGGAGCAAGAGTGGTTGTTGTAGTGGTGCTGTTGTCTGGAGCAACAGTAGTTGTTGTAGTGGTGCTGTTGTCAGGAGCAACGGTGGTTGTTGTAGTGGTGGGAGGAGTAGTAGGTGGTGGAGTTGTCGGTGTTGTGGGTGGTGGAGTTGGTGCAACAGTTGTAGTATTAATAGCAGGAGGGGTAGTGGTTGGTAATGGTGTGACAGTTGTGTTCGTTTCAGGGTCGGGTTTAATTGAAGTTGTTATATTTGGAACTGGGGTTGGTGTTGTAGGAACGACTGTTGGTTTTGTTTCATTTGAAGCAACTGTTGTGATTGTCTCCGTTGTGCTGGTTATTTCTGCACTATTCTTAGTCGTAATTGGTGTTGCTTCGTTGGCTTTATTGACCGGTAGCGTAGCATTGTTGGATTCTATGATATAAGTTAAAATATTTTTAAAAACAAGGTTTCGCATAAGTGACTAATACATATGTATACTTCAATACATAGAGAACTCAACAAAAAACCACATAACGAACCAAATAAGTATATTATTTATAAATTATTAGACCGTACACTCAAATCGTGCTAAACTACTATTTTCGATTCCCAATATTTGTATGCCTTATCTGAAGTGAGTCATCAAAAGTTCGACTGAAGTCTGTGTGTAAACTAAACATTGATATATTTTCAAAGCAAGCTAATTTTATTGCAAACCAAAAACGTTTTTTTGTGTATTTTTTCAGTTATTTAATTTGCCCTTTGTTCATGGTAGTTACATGTATTTACTAATTGCTTTATCAAACACATTACTTTAATTGAAACTCAAGACATGAACATAATATTATGTATGTATGTAGGTAAGAACATGCAGTACATCATATAAATTAATTTGACATACCTTGACAGTAAACCGATGAAAATACTCCTGCCAGAAGGCAACACAAAAGCAAACCTCTCACCGACGATTTCATATTTAATCTGCTTCTCTTAACTTCCGTGTAGTTTAGTGTATGCAGTTTTTGCTTGTTACAGTAATTTCCAAAGTGCAGTGAAAAATATATATCGCATATACGTTGTGGGAGTCCCTACGTCAACTATGCAGTAGTTCTCGTGTTACTCAAATCTTACGATTACCAAGAAAAATGTTCTATAGCGATACAAAAAAAAGAGAAATAATTAAATGCGCAAATATTATATGTAGAAAGACGAGCGGGGGCATCAAAGCAACAGAAATGTGTGCTGTGAATCTCTCCACCCTTGTATATAAGTGGTTATTATCGCCCTTTATTCTACTTATAACATTTTGTTGATTGCGAAAACAGCAATATGTTTTTATCACTTCAAAAATTATTTAATTAAACAATTTATTTACCAATCACTTTAATCCTAAAATCGCCACAATTTTCGTATTTTCTATAAGAATATAACCAAATTTATTGCATATTTTTCTCAAGACTGACTTGCTAGCTGATGACTGCAACTGGAACGCAGGGATGCATTAGAAAAGAGTTGAATAGGGTTGCTGTAAACTGCGTTTATTAATTAAATTATTATATATAATATAATAATATATTTTAATTATAAACATAAATTACTAATAAAAACATAGCTAATTATTCTTATTGCATTTTTTTTAAATTTCTTGTATTACCAATCAGCATATTACAGTCTATAGGTCCGTTTTTGTTTTAAATGCTTAAAGAATTGAGTAACACGTAAACTCCGATAAGAAAACTCTCCATTAACGTAAATCATACTCTCCATAATCTGTTCGCTCCCAACTAGAGAAGTGTTTTTCCCCCTACATAGAATTATTATATAATATTAATATATATGTTTACATATAGCTGATATAATATTATAATATATGAGCTATGATAAGTGCACATGGTCAGTATATATTTATATATATGTAATATTATACGTTCTTTGCTTCGTGAAGTGTTTTAACCTTACAAAGGGCTATTGTAGAATATTAATATATATGTATGTACATATATATTTCTGATATAATTTAAAAATCTAATATATGTATGTATGTACTAAGGTAAGTGTATCTGGTCAAGGAGCGGATTGGTACTGGGTTTATGGTTTTATCTCTTTTCCGCAATGGTCAACTTCTTGATACACATACTCCAACAGTGAGCAGCAAGTCTGAAAAGTCTACCACTTGAAGTGACCTTTTTATTTGCGCGGAGTGATTCTCAAAGCTACTACATACCCGGTTCTACATCGTTCCATTATGGCGCTAACCCATTATAAGTCCTAAGACTACCGACCCAAACAAAGTGAGATTGTCGAAAAGCTATTTTACCAGTTAAAATCCGAACAATTGCGTTGTGGTTTGAATATGGTATAGACCTTATCCTTTCTGTATGTAAATATTTGTTGAAGTTACGAAAGAGGCTTGTTATTTTTAGTACTGTCTCCCTGAATTGGTGGAGAATGCATAATAAGATCAAAATTTTAAGTCTTTTGGAGCAAAGTTGACGAAATTAAGAGCCAATTTATATCTAATGAGTGTTTTACATAAGATTTTAAGTCTTTGAATCCACGTTTTCAAAATCCGTCTCCCTCATAACATCAAAACTACTGCACCGATCCTTTTTGAAATTTTCAATTCAGATGATCCAGCATCGAGTTATGAAGAGCGTGCCATATTTTTTATTATTTCGCCAAGAAAATTAGTAGAATAATCTTCAAATCTTAATGGTTTTTAAAAATAAATTTTAATAGTTTCATTTAAAAAAAAAACATAAAAATGGCTTTGTTTTACAGTTAGTTGTTATCAAAATCATATAACGAGAGGCACAGCAAACGTACGGTTTCGACGGATTTGGGGCAGAAGGAAAAGTGTGTGAGGCGAGTTGGTTTCTTAGGTAGTTAGTTCCACTAGCTATTGCTTTTCAAGCTCTTCAATCACATAAATAAGACAACTGTTTATATATTTTTTTTATATTTTCCATTACATGTAAACTTTATTTCTTGAGTTTAGGTGACAAGCAGAAAAAATCCGAAGTTTATGTTTTAAACCGACAACTTCAGCTGCTGTTATAAATTAACGTAAAATACAAATTGCTTTTAAAATAAGTTTAGTTTAAATAATTCAACCACGTTACGATTCGTCAAAATCGTAATGACGCTAAAAAATATATTTTTATTCGGACGTCACACCGATTGCTTGCGATAATATATATTAGTTTTATATGCATACATATTTATTTCTCATAGTAAATTCAATTAAATGTGCACGCTGCAGTTTTTTTCTCATAAAATGGACAAAAATGCAACGATAAATTGTTTTTTATTATTTGTGTTTTCTGTTATTTTTGCGTTTGTCTTGTTTATAATTTTTGTGTGTTAAAAATTAAATTCTTATATACTTGTTAATGCGTGTAAACTCTTTGCCTTACTCGCATAATCAATAAACTTCCAAAACAGAGCAATATTAAGCGATTAGCATGCACTTTCTACCCAATCCCCAAGTGGCTCTATATATGTATATCAGGGTGACCATTAGTTCCAAATTTATTTATTTTTTTTTTTGCAAATGTCCATTGGAGTTTCAGTTTTCGTCCTAGTCAAAAAGAACTAACGTTTGTAAGCTCTGTACTTTCTATTTAGACTGTTTTACTGTTCCCATGTTTGCAATTTATATGAGATTATTGGTGTTTTGCCATACATTTTTTTCTTCTAAGCAAATAAGTCTACTACTTTGAAAATATGATTTTATAGTACAAAAATTTCCACTCTACAAAAAAGTTTGAATAATTTTTTTCAAAATCTTTGTTCGAACTTTTATGCACTTAAAATTATGGATTTTATGTACTGTATTCATACAGTACACCATGTCGTATGAGCAACACAGAATGTATAAATCACTGGTGTGAATGCTCAATACATTTGATGTACATATGTACATATAACTTTGACCGCGCATAAATCTTGAAGTTGTATTTTTATGGACAAAATCAATAAGACTGAAACTTCAGTGTGCGTTTGAAAAAAAAAAAAATCTTGGGAAAATAACGTACACCCTAATGCATATATATTTTTTTCAACTGCATAACAGCGTTTTGCCGCTGCTGTTTGTTCAATGTATCTATGTATGCATTTACAACTAAAGGACTACCTTGAAGTTTGTTTTATATAATTTGTAATCGTATTGTTTGCGGTAGAGCTATAGTTATATACGTATAAGTTATTAGGTAAATTGAGTGTAGCAAAACAAATTACAATAAGAAAAATTCACTAAAAATACACACATCCACCAAATATTGCAAGTATTTTAAGGAAATACCAGTTTACCAGTTTGTTTGGGGAAAATTCACTGCCACGACGGCGCGATTTAAGTCAATTAAAATTGTTTTAGGCATTTACGTATACGGGTGTGTGTGTGTGCGTAGTAGATGTTGCCGGTACAAACACAATGTTCCGAATTTTCGTCGAGTGCTTAAATATCCTTTATATTGCTGCTGGAATTTGAGCAAATTAATGCGTTTACCTCTCTATAAGCTAACGTAGCATATTCCATATAGTATATGTATGCGTATGTTTGTATGTATGCATGCTTCGCGAATGCAGCAAGAAGTTTTAGTTAATGAGCGAGTGAGCTTTGATTGTTGTAATGTAGTACGTACAGGTAAATCTTTCTTGTATTTTTTGTATTTTTAAATCGTTGTGGTTATACTTGAAATGTAGCATTTCGCCATTTTAACCATATTTGTTGCAAAATCAGTTGCTGGTCATTATTTATAGTCCATTATAAATTTATTGTTGTTATGCTCGTGTTTCTAACTAATAATATATATATATTTCTTTTAGCGAGCTATTCGTCTTTCATTCGTTTGCATAATTTAATATCCTGACCAGTTTAACTAAATGTTGCAGTAAACCGATAATTCTTAAAAAAAATAATCATAACATTCAAGTCAATTCGAAATCCATTTCATTCCATAATCGAAATAACAGTTTTCTTGCGGTCATTTGTTTTCAACGTCTGCCGTGCTGTTGTTTAAGAAAAATTTTAAACACTGACACTGTTTTTTTTTTACTCCTTATATACGGACGTATCCATGGGACTGGCTGGCTGTGCAAAAGAAGTGAATGAGTTGGTGTTTGTTGGTGTAAATGCAGACAACGACGAATTACTGGTATTCATGCTATTCGTTAGATTAGCGGACGAATTATTGATACTAATATTGATTGGATTGGAAGCCTGCTGCAGTGACGACGCAGTGCCATTGTTAATAGTGTTCAAACTCATGTTGTTGCTGACATTATTGCTGCTTGCGAGCAATGCGGCACTGCCGCTCGCACCGCCGCCAATACTTAAACGTTCTGCATTCAAATTCTGTAAGAAACCACCAGTGCCGCCAAAAAGCGTGGAAGAGTTTAAAGTAGCGCTAGTTAAATTGGGATTTGTACCGCCGCCGCTGCCGCTGCCGACACCACCACTGCCGGCTGAGCCCAAAAGCGAACTACCACTGAGCACATTAGGAGCTGAAGTGTTGAGACCCAGCATGGGTGTGGGTAGTGCTGGTTTAATGAAACGTTCACTGGCACGGCGATTCTGAATAAAAATAGGAAAACATAAATTTATGCTCAAATAAAATACTCCGCAATAAAATTTTAATAAAATATATACTCACCACAATTTGACCACAGGCATAACAGCGGTTCTGGTGTACTGAACCTGGACTAAGTGGCCGACTATTCGATGGACTATGCGAAACGGGGCTGCTGATCGTGCGTTGACGTGTGTTCACAGCACCAGCAGCTGCATTGCCCAAACCACCAGCGGTGCCTACGGCGCCTAATAAATTTTCATTGTAGAACCGCTCCTCATCCATTTCAAGCGATGATTCCGATTCGGATAGATGGCGACACAGTGCTTCACGGCGTTCTACTTCTAATTTCAATTTGCGCTGCAAGCGTGCATTTTCTTCGCGTATACTCTTTTCTTCTTGTGCAAATTGTTGTAATTTCTTAGTGGCCTCCTTTTGTGCTGCCGCGAGATTGGAACGCAATCGCACTACTTCGGAACGTAAAGTCTGTATGTGAGCGCTTAAATTAGAGGCAGTGTCACCATTGGCATTGGTTATATCACGTGGTGTAGTTGGATCGGAAACTGGTTCATCCAGTTTAATTTGCAATAAACGCTTTTCGGTCTCGAGTTTATCCATACGTTTCCAGAGCTTATTAACTAAGGCTTCCTGCTCTTGTTCCAATGTATTTTCTAATTCCACCATTTCTCTACGCAATTGCTCTAAATTGGTTTGTTTATTATCCGTTTCGGCTTGTAGCTTCTCAATTTTGCGCATTAGCTTGTTAACAAGACATTCCTGCTCCTGTTCAAGAGTTTGCTCTAGCTTGCATTTCTCTTGCCGAAGCTGTACGATTTAAAACAATTTTAGTTAGTTACAATATTGCAGATTGATATTAAAAATATATATATACCTGATCTAATTTACGCGATAAATCATTGGTTAAGCACTCCTCTTCTCGTTCGTAATGGTGTGCTAAAGTCTCCTTCTCTTTCTTTAAGGCTTGAATTTTCTTTAGAAGTGTATTCGATATGTACTCCTCCTCCTGTTCCGCTTTCGCTTGCTTTAAAGGAATATGAAAAGATTGTGCGCAAATATTAAAAATAGTAGTAAAAATAAATATCTTACAATTATAACGGACGCTTGCTTGAGTGCACGATTCTCCTCCTGCACCACTTTGCATTTAATCTTAAATGTATCTAGTTCAGCCTTGAGTACTCTGAAAGATGAAGGAACAATTTATGAGCAATTAAAATTGGTAGTGTTTATTGAAAAAAATTTCTGATATTCATACTTATTTTGTTGTGTCAACGATTCGATGCGTTTTTGTAACTGCTCTCGAGACACTGGACTGGGTGGAAGCATGGTACCTCCGTCTAGGGAGCTCTCCGATTCACAAGGACTCTCCATATCTGTAAACATAAGTAATTAAATAAAAAACATGAGTTAAAATATTTATTCAAATCGACCAGTTGTATCTGTAATGTGAAATAATTTCTTCACAAAAGGTAAATGACCCAAAAATAGATAAAGAGAAGGTGAAAACAATTGTCGGTTTTCACTATTATACGAATAAAAAAATTCTTGTCAACAACTTATATACATGAAAAACCAGTGTGTAATTATCTACGTTGTTGTTTATACGCTTAAAGCATCTTATTTTTCAATAATAAAGGTTTGTATGCCTGCAATTTGGTAAGCAAAAATTTGTTATTAAAAGAAACAATTGATGCTGTGTTATTATTTTTTCGAATTTCAAATTACCACCCTCCTTTGTCGGCAAATGTACTTTTAACACTTTGAAAATTGAAGAGAAAATGTAACCATACTTATATATTTATGTTTGAACAAGCATGTATATAATACATATATGTACATAAAAATAAATTGATACATATATTTATATGTCGTTGTCGTTGTTTCTTTATCATTCCTTGCATCTATAAGCAGAGAACAAAGGCATCCCGATCGAAAGCGGTGACGACTTTGCCTACGCTAAATCATATATATATATATATATATATATATACATTTCTGCAGCTATATGCATATACATACATATATGTACTATATACATCAGCATTTACCACTCTAATTTTATCAGCTGTAATGCTTGTTTTTTCATATTTCTTAAATAGTCGAGTTTTTAGTCAACTTAGCATAGCGAAATGTAAATTTCCCTTATATCAATGGTTCGACTACAGGAACACCTCTTCACCCTCCATAAACTTTGTAACTCCACATATGAGTGCATACACAACCAGCTTGTCGAGTTCACGCCCCATGCATTCCATGGTCACAACTATAGGATAATTTTTTGGCTAACGATGCAAGTATATATGTATGTTAGAGCGTTATAATTAAATTTTTCTTGAATCTGCATTTGTTCGTTTTATTATTAATTAACTCACCTGAATATCACCTTTTACGAGTTACTAGAAAAATTGCGGCTCTGCAATCTTTTGCTGTTCCCTTTCAGTCTCTTTTTCACTTTTGCCTTCTTTTCAAACTTCCAACCAAAATTGAAATAAATAATTGTTTTATAATAATATATGGATTTTGTAATATTTTAGCAGCAATTTTTCAGCAATATTGACAAAATGTTTAATTCTTTTCTCTTAGTAGCTCCGAGCTCCAAATAAATCGAATCCGACACCAATCTGCTTTGCAAATTTTTTTCGGTTTTTGCCGTTTCCTTTTCAACGATAGCTGCTGAGCTGATGACGACTGGACAGAGTTATCAAGCCACAAAAAATTAATATTTTAGACACTTTTCACACACTTCGAAAATTTTATATTCAATTGTGCAATAGTTCGTTGGATTTATTGTATTTATTTTTAAAATAAAATATTTGAAGCATAAAACGTTATATACAGAATATTAATTTACATATGATATTATGTTTATACATATTATCTTTCTACTTTTTTTTCTAATGTTCTTATGATTTTGGTATACAAGTGACATTTGCACGTTTTCACCGTGACAAAAAAAAAAAAATAATAATATAAAAAATTGGAAATATGTAATTATTTTATTTATTAAATATTCAACTTGACAGCTATGAAGAGGTAGAATAATTCACAATAGTAGAACTATGCCTTCTCTATTCTATAATTTCTTTTAAAACGGAGTTGTTCAACAACAAATAATAATTTTGTACTACTAAAAAAAGCAAAATATATTTATTATAATTCAAATCGCCATATTAGGACTGGTGAACTCGTAAACATGAATACTTTATCAACAAACACTGTAGTTCAAATCGAATACTACTCGATAAATTGATTCGATGGCATTTCATAATCGACGAAAAGTACATATCTATTAACTGTCAGCAATAAAAACAATACTGATATCTTCACACGTGCGGTAACATTAATTCTTATACATCGAATTATTTAATTCAATAATCATTTATATAGCATCAATATGCCAGAGGATGATGGCATGGATAAAAGAAAATCCCATCGCGCGCGGCAGGCCGGCGTGAAAGCGGAAAAGAAAAAGTTGAAGGCCAAGAAAGATTCCGGTAACACCAAAGAACCCAATTTGACTGCACGTCAAAGGAATCCAAAAGCATTTGCTATTAACTCTGCACAACGTGCTGAGCGGAATTTTCGACGCAAAGAGGATTTAACAGCTAAAAAGCAACACATTCCTGTTGTCGACCAAACACCAGATGAACCACCACCTGTGCTAATAGCTGTGGTGGGCCCACCTAAGGTGGGCAAAACGACTCTAATAAATAATTTGATAAAGAATTTTACGCGTACAAATGTTACTGATATACGCGGCCCCATTACAATAGTGACATCGAAAAAGCGACGTATAACACTGCTGGAATGCAACAATGACATCAATTCCATGATTGATGTGGCAAAATGTGCTGATTTGGTATTGTTATTATGTGATGCCAGTTACGGGTTTGAAATGGAGATTTTCGAATTTCTTAACATTTGTCAAGTGCATGGCATGCCAAAAATTATGGGTGTCCTAACACATTTGGATATGATTAAGAATCCTAAACAATTGAGGAAGCGCAAGAAGGAGCTGAAACATCGTTTCTGGACCGAAGTTTATGATGGGGCCAAGTTATTTTACCTTTCGGGTTTGCTACATGGCGAATATTTGCGTAATGAAGTGAAAAATTTGGGACGTTTCATTTCAGTTATGAAATTCCGACCGCTATCATGGCGTGGTGCGCATAGCTATTTGCTTGTGGATCGTGTCGAAGATGTAACTAACACCGACAAAATACGACGCAATCCCAAATGTGATAGAGAAATTGTTCTTTACGGTTACGTGCGCGGTGTGCCTATGAAGCAAGAGCATTCGGTGCATATCGCCGGTTTGGGAGATGCGAGAATCGAAGAACTGAGCGCTATCCCAGATCCCTGTCCACTGCCAGGCACAGAGAAAAAACGCAGTCTTTTAGAAAAGGAAAGATTACTGTACGCACCTATGTCTGGTGTTGGCGGCATAGTTTACGATAAAGACGCTGTGTACATAGAATTACAGGGATCACATAGTCATAAGGAGAAAACTGGCGATGCTGCTGAACAGGAACAGTTAGTAGAGAAGCTTATAGATAAAAAGCAAACTGTGGATGTGCAAATTGAAGAGCAAGAGTTTCGACTCTTCTCTGATGGTTCTGCCATTAAGTCGAAAGACTACAAGGAGGACAGTGATGTAGATGACGAAGAAGGCAGTCAAGATGTAAGTGTGTTTAATATCAAGTGCAAATATCTATAAAAGCGTATGTTATTTGTAGGAGGATTCCGGTGTAGATGATGAGGACGATGCGAGTGTTAACAGTGACGATGAATTTCGCGGAGAGGATTGGCGCGCCGAAGATAGTGACCAAGAAGAACAGCCAGATAGCGATAATAATACATCTGACGATGAGGAGTATCAAACAGTAGATGAACAGAAATCGAAGGACAAACATAGTGCGGTTGATGAATCTGATCAGGATACAGATAGTGAACAGGAGGAGGCCAAAATTCTAGCAAATAGTATGAGTTGGAAGGAGAACTTGGCACAAAAGGCGCGTGATTCGTTTTTGCTACGACATTCGGAGGCTAAGAACATTATGCGTTTGGTATATGGTTGCTACAGCACAAGCGAAAGCAAGGTAATTTTTAATTTTCCAAACAAATAACTGTAGATATGCATTTGCAATTTATATTTTCTATGTTACAGAAAAACAAAAATGTAGAAGACGACCAAAACGATTCAGATTCGGGCGAAGAACTGGGTGGTCTCTTTAAAGTAGCCGCTAAAAAGCAAAGCGACATGCAAAAGGATAAAGACATACGAGATAAAATAGAGCAATGTTTTTTCGAGGACTTCTCCGGTGGTACGCGAAATTGGCTGGAAGATGACAACAAAGCGCTTTTAAAAAATTGCTTCGTCACCGGCAAATGGAAGGCGTCAGAAGATGCCGAAACGCTGCTGCGCTTAGATGACCTAAGCGATGCTGAAAGTGAAGTTTACGGAGATTTCGAAGATCTCGAAACTGGCGAAAAGCATGCTGGCACCAGCAAAGCGCAGAACACTGCCACCGAAGAAAGTCCCGCTGATAACGCGGCTGATGCGAATCAGGATGAAAATACGCGCAAGCGTCGTATGACCAGAGTTGAAGAAGAAAATCTAACCAAAGCAGAGCTTATGGCGAAAAAACTGAAACTTAAAGCTAAATTCGATGCCGAGTATGATAATCATGATGGGCCAAAAGAAGACGATGGACGCATTACGGGTGACCACGATTATTACGAAAGCTTAAAAGCGGACGCACAAAAACAATCGGAGTTGAACAAAAGCGAGTTCGCAAATCTCGACCCCGAACTGCGTTTACAAATCGAGGGTTATCGGCCGGGACTTTATGTTCGGCTGGGTAAGTGTTTTTCTTTTTTTAAATTCGTTTCAGAATTAATGCATTACATTGAATTTTAGGCTTTCGTGGCATATCTTCGGAGTTCATTGACAACTTTGATCCCAGTTATCCTGTGCTGGTGGGCGGTCTCAATATGACCGAAGAAAATATCGGTTATGTTAACTGTAAAGTGAAGAAGCATCGTTGGTACAAGAAAATATTGAAGACCGGTGATCCGTTAATTATCTCTTTGGGTTGGCGGCGCTTCCAGACCGTGCCAATATACGCCAAAGTTGAGGATAACTTCCGACACCGTTATCTTAAGTATACGCCCAACCACGTGACGTGCAGCATGACATTCTGGGGTCCAATTACGCCACAAAATACCGGTTTCTTGGCGTTGCAAACTGTACGCCACGATCTCGATGAAATGAAGCGTCTAGGTTTTCGTATAGCGGCTACGGGCAGTGTCAGCGAATTGGATAAATCCGCGCAGATTATGAAAAAACTGAAGTTGGTCGGCCAACCATTCAAGATCTACAAGAAATCTGCATTCATTAAGGGCATGTTCACAACCGGACTGGAGGTGGCCAAATTCGAGGGCGCCAAAATTAAAACCGTCTCCGGCATACGTGGCCAAATAAAAAAGGCGCACCATGATCCCGAAGGCTCATTCCGTGCCACCTTCGAGGATAAGATACTTTTGAGTGATATCGTCTTCTGTCGCACCTGGTTCCGCGTGGACGTACCACGTTTCTATACAGCGGTCACCTCGCTACTACTGCCGCCAGAGCAGAAATCACAATGGCAAGGCATGAAGACGTTGGGACAACTGAAGCGTGAACGAAACATACGCAACGAAGCCCAACCGGACAGCCAGTACACGGATATTAAGCGTGAACCGAAAATCTTCAAACCGCTTACGATACCCAAAGCACTACAACGCGCGCTGCCCTACAAGGACAAGCCGAAAGTGCGATCGTTGGCTGATAAAAAGGAGGAGTTGGAGCGTATAGCGGTGATACGCTCACCACATGAGCAGAAAGTGGCCAAGATGATGAAAATGATAGAGACCAACTACAAAGCCAAGCGGAAACGTGACAAAATGGAGACTAAGGTACGACTGAAGCAATTCCGTGCCGAGAAACGTGTGGAAGAAGCGCGAAAGATGAAGCGTCAGAAAGAGGTGCGCAAGAAGGTATCACGTGCTATAAGTAAAATGCGTAAGAAGGAAGAAGCCTAAAGAGCACCAACACAAATCCGTATGTATGAACTTGTATATAACCTAGAAACTCTTTTAATTACTTAAATAATAAAAGTCAACTAGTTTACATAAAATATTGTTTGCTTTTATTTGCGAAGTATATAAATCACAATGCAAATGTCACTTGTATTCGGCATATTTTTGTTAGCTGGAAAAGCTTAACTAAAACATCATGCGCGTGTTCCTCAATCCTGACTTTTGTTGTCGTCGATGGCCTTGAGCGCGGCGAGTAGCTTATTTTTGCGGCTGCTGGGCAGACTTTGGCCTGGAGAAATGTTTCCTCGCTTTTTGGGCGTTTCCTCCAAGAGCACACCGCTATTGGCCTGTCGGCAGAATGTGTCGAGGAACGCCTCACGCTCCCTGTAATCGTGCGAGATTTGCTTGCGTATGCTGGAGATCTCTTCCTTCATGTGTAAGGTTTTCTTGGCGGTATTACAAACCTGTTAATTGGAAATTTAAAAACTAATTAGTGGCTTGAATGATTAAATCGTGGTTTTATTATTGGAAATAACGGTTTTGGATTTGATTAAAAGATCCGAAGAACAACTGTGGCAATTGTTTTCCACACTCTGTTTCAGGGAAAAGAATAAAAAATAAATG